GCACAGTGTTAGTTCTATTCTGTAGAGTGTTAGTTCTAATCTGCACAGTGTTAGTTCTATTCTGTAGAGTGTTAGTTCTAATCTGCACAGTGTTAGTTCTATTCTGTAGAGTGTTAGTTCTAATCTGCACAGTGTTAGTTCTATTCTGTAGAGTGTTAGTTCTAATCTGCACAGTGTTAGTTCTATTCTGTAGAGTGTTAGTTCTAATCTGCACAGTGTTAGTTCTATTCTGTAGAGTGTTAGTTCTAATCTGCACAGTGTTAGTTCTATTCTGTAGAGTGTTAGTTCTAATCTGCACAGTGTTAGTTCTATTCTGTAGAGTGTTAGTTCTAATCTGCACAGTGTTAGTTCTATTCTGTAGAGTGTTAGTTCTAATCTGCACAGTGTTAGTTCTATTCTGTAGAGTGTTAGTTCTCTCTGCACGACTCCCCGTCGTGTAGCTAACACAGGAACTGTGAGACCCGATTGAGCGAGCGAGTCCTTAAGCTCTTCAAGAACAAAGTCAACCATGCGGGTCCACCAACCTCCTTCGCCAGAACAGACCCATCCAGGGGACCTGAACGTCTGGGTAGAGAATCCACCCTGAGTTGCAAGGAATTGGCGGATAAAAATGTTCGCTGGACGTGGCACCTCCGGAACCAGCTCTTTCTTCTCAAACAAACCAGGTCTTAACCCCTTGAGTTGTCCTCCGATTTGTGTACGAGCTCACCGACCAAATCCAAGTGACACATTCTCTTTCTCTTTGACAATGTCGAAGGTCAAACCCCGACGGCAACTCACATTCAAGAAATAGGAGAGCGGGTACATCCTCTTCATGTTTGGGAGGAATAAGAAGCGATTATCAGCTCTCCGCAGCAGCTTTGAATCTTCCACGTGTGTGAGATGGTCATCGACTGGTATGCGATCCCCAAATATGAATGCTGGTTTAGGAAACTGGGCATGACCAACAGGGGTCTCCAAGTCTAAGTCAGCGAATCAGGAAAAGTACACAATGGAATCCTGTTCTGAAGACTGAATAATTCATTCGGGTCAGGGCCACCAATATATCCGAAATAGTGCTCTTGTGAAAGCGGCACGTTTGGGAGAAACACTGCACAATCAAAAGCAGAAGTTAGACAACTCAAAAGCAAGATTCAGACGCGAAGGTCGAGCCCCCGCGTCAAATAAGTTCAGACGCGAAGGTCGAGCCCCCGCGTCAAATAAGTTCAGACGCGAAGGTCGAACCCCGCGTCAGATAAGTTC